CCGGGGCTTCTAAAAACACTCAACTTAGTAGCGACTCAGCAGAATCTGCTGTCATGCCTGTGAAAGAGAAACACAGCACCCTGAAAACCCGATAACGCCAAACACCGAACTTGGATCCGTAAATCCCAAAACCGCCTGCCCAGTCTCTAAACCCTAAACCCCCACGCCCGTCCCGAACCCTGTTGTGAACCCCATACTCCACATTGTACACCTAGGTTTAGTCGCAGGTTTCTGATTTTCGGTTAGAATGGCCAAGCGGTTCTACCCTCCTAAGCGCTAAACCCGAAACCCTAAACCCCTAAACCCTAAACCCCTAACCCCCTCAACCCAGGCTTTGGGGTGCTAAGGACCTTGGGATTGCTGGTGGATTCCGGCTACTTGTGGCGAGAGCTGGGGTTTAGGGTTTAGGGTTTAGGGGTTTGGGGTTTAGGGTTTAGGGTTTTAGGGTTTTAGGGTTTTAGGGGCTCAGGGCTTAGGCTTAGGATTTAGGGATTAGGCGGTTTAGGGTTTAGGGGTTTAGGGTCTAGGGTTTAGGGGTTCAGGGTTTTAGGGGTTCAGGGCTTAGGCTTAGGGTTTAGGGATTAGTGTTTTAGGGTTTAGGGTTTAGGGGTAAAGTTGGGATCGTAGAGCATGACCAGTCATGGATTGTCGGCTTCTCGAGTTTTTAGCGAGCTAGAACGAGGTTCTGGGACTTGTTTGTCAGACTGGCTGGACTCCACCATTTCAACGAAATAAAGCCGAGCCCTAACACTGATGTCTTGTAGCCCTCTTAGGGTTCATGTCAGGCCCAATCCCTCAACCCTAAATCCCTAAATCCCTAAATCCCTAAACACTAAACCTAAAAAAAAAAACGAATCCCATGGGCCTGGCAGGTCGTGTGGAGCAGGTGCTCAGAGCGGCGCGCAGCTTCGGTTCCGTCGACATCGTCGGGGCCCTGTTTGGGGTTTAGGGTTAAGGGTTTAGGGTTAAGGGTTCAGGGTGTAGGGCCAAGGGTTTAGGGTTTAGGGTTTAGGGTAAAGGGTTTAGGGTTTAGGGTTTAGGTAAAGTGTGGAGCTTGGAGGGTCTGCGGGTTGAATATAGGGGTCTAAGTAACTACCAATACTACTTTTTTTTGGGGGGGGGTACTTTTCATAATTTTGGTTTGTAGTATAATATACACCAGAAGCCTATTCTAATTATTTAGGCCCCTATATTAGGGGTTCAGGCTTGCGGGTTTGAGGGTTTCAGGTCGCTCTGAAGGTTCAGCCAGCAAAGCGATGGCTTCGTTTACTACAGCTTGCGGCTTGGTTTTCGCACCATCATAGACACAGATGATAATCACTACCCAACCGGCCGAGATGCAGTCCAGCAGTAGCACAGATATTGTAACTGATGCGGAGGATATTGTTAGGCCATTTGTGTGTTTGCTCTCCATCTTTCCTAGCTCGGTACTGTCTGCCTTTTTGTCCGCTCGTCGGTCTTGACATGTCTATCTGTCTTTCTACAAAGATGTACGTGTTTTATTGTATTCGCGTGCAGTGTGCGTATATGTCGGTTTGCATGCATGCATCTGTACATTCATTCGCGGATGCCTGGTTGCATGTGAGTTTAGTTCATTGCGTCTTCCGTGCCACTGCGTCTGTATGCATTTCTGCTTTGGGTGATCTCCAGACACAGCTGTGCACAGAAACTAATTTCAGACAGTCAGAGACGGAGAGAGACGGAGAGAGGGAGGGAGATCGACGCAGAGGACACAGAAGGAGGGCGGAGGGAGGACAAGAGGAGAGGGGAGTTCCTATTTTTGGGCAAACCCGGAACCCAAAAAACCTATACCCTATATACCAGAAGCCATAAAGTTGGAGCATCACTCTCTTTTATGGCTTCTACTATAGGCACAAACCCTACGCCCCTGATGACTTCCGAGATTGGAGCACCCGATGCCTCCTAGGTGACCTTGGCAAACCGTCAATGGCTCGCCAGAGCCACAGTGCCTGTTTCTATGTTTTTGAGGATTCTGGAATAGCGTTTAGGTTTAGGGGTCCCTGTGCTAAACCACACCCAATTTCCCCAAAACCCCTATATAAGCTTTAAGCCCCAACACCCCTACAAATCTCGAAATCACCAACACCCCAAACCCCAAGCCCTAAACCTTACACCGTAAACCCTTAGGCGGTTTAGGGTTTAGGGTTTTGGATTTAGGGTTAAGGGTTTAGAGATTTGGATTTAGGGTTTAGGGTTTAGGGATGAGGGTTTAGGGATTCTAACGTACCGTCAAGACGCCTATATCTGATTGCCTGAGCTCAGTTCCTTAAAATAGAGCCCACCCAGAGCTTCCAAAATGCCTTACCCAAGGAAGATGCATCACATCATGTTAGGTGTCCTACTATGCCTTAAGATATGTTTCCTAATTGCTTAAGGTAAAATGGCAGGTATGAGCAGTTTAGGATCGTGGGTTTAGGGCTTGGGGTCTTAGGATGCCCGTTAAAGGCCTGCAGGCTTCTGTCGACCCATGGGTTTGGGGTTTAGGGTTAGGGTTTAGGGATTAGGGTTTAGGGTTTAGGGTTCAGGATTTAGAGTTTTGGGTTCAGGGTTTAAGGTTCAGGTTTAGGGTTGGTCGATTCTTAGATATTTCGGGGTTCAGAGTTTCGGGTTTAGGGTTTAGTTCACGTCTAGAACATCGGGCATGGCTTGGGCTCTGCTGGCTTGCTGATTCTTCGTTTTTTTGTGCCGCTGGTGCCTAAGCCGAGATTCCGGGTAGTGTCCCTGAACCCTCATGAACATGTATCGGGCCAGAGGAGGGGCATGTTTAGGTACTGGCACGGTTTAGAGAAGTTCTTGTGTGGGGCCATGCTTTCTTGTTTAGGATTATATAATCTTGTCAAAGGACTGTGAGTATATTCATATGTGTATATATATATGGGGGATATTTCGAAAAAGGCACGTCAATCCAAGGTCTAGGGAGATCATGGGTTTCGCTTCTGAACCGGGCTTCACGTTTGAGTTCCGGGCTGAGGCTTTAGGGTTTAAGGTTTCGGGTTCAGGATTTAGGGTTAAGGGGTGTCAATAGCCTTGGTACCAGCAAGACTAGCAGTACAAGTATTCGTCAAGATAAAGCTCAGGGTTGCTATGGGGTTTCTACAAGTGTTACAAGACAGGTTGCTGTAGCACTGCAACGGTTACTACAAGGTTTGCTATGGCAAGGTCGGATGTTGTTCTTCAAAATTCAAATCCATCGATACTTACAGCAGCTAGAACGAAAACAAACAAGTCAGAATAGCACCCTCTTCCCCGAAGTCTAATATGGGGGCCTTTAATAATTACCTATATTATTTTGGGGGCTCCTTATTATGATTATAGTACAATATAACCCAAAACCCTATTCTAACTATTAAGGCCCTTACATTATCCAGATGCTTCATGGCCTTGGCGCAAGCCTTGGGGTTTGGTAGGGCTTGGGGTTTAGGGGTTTAGGGTTCCGTGTACCTTCTGGATTATGGCTTAGTGTATGATTTAAGGCTTGCTCGTAATTGAGATGCCTCATGGATTAAGGCTTCGTGTATGATTTGCGGCCTCTTTGTTTTACGCAGCCTGCAAAACCAATCACATTCCTTTCAAACCCCGTTCAAGCCCCTGTAGCCCACCCGATTAAACCCTAAACCCCAAACCCAAAACCCTATCCCTAAACCCTAAACCCTAAACCCTATAATCAGACCCAAATTAAACCCTAAACCCTAAACCCTAAACCCTATAATCAGACCCAAATTGAACCCTAAATACATGATAAAAAGCCCTGGGTCGGCCGCAGGAACAGACTTCTCGGTTTATGAGCCCTGGCAATCTGGATCTACTGGGGCTGTGTCCTGGCTGTTTAATTTTTTTTGATTTTACGGTGGGTTTATGATTTGGGACCAAAGTTTACATAGGAGTTCCATGTTTTTGGTGTTTGGGGGTTGAGGATTCTACCTTGGCGTTTCGGGTTAGGGGTTAGGATTGAGACCTTAAACTCTGCACCATACGGGTTTGGGTTATACAGTGACACTGTTAAGGGTGCCGAAGGGCTTGTGGTGACCAGGGTTTGCAACATGGTTTAGAGCTTAGGGGTTTAGGGCTTAGATTTTTGGGGGTTGTGCTCTAGCGCCATTTTGTGGGATTGATGGTTCTAGTAAGGGTGCTGTAGGGTTGCCTAGACCCTGAGATGTAGCCATTTGTTGTTTATTTTGTTCAGATATTCTAGGACCCCAGTGATAGAACAGATGATCAAACGTGACATTGCGCCGGTGCTTACCTCGGCTCTAATCCGGATTTCGGGTTTAGGATTGTGGCTTACCGGTGATGTGAAGGAAGTCTTTCTGCCTGCGGATCAAATTGACTTCAAACGGTCACAGCCACTCTTCAGGATCCGGAGAAATCCTGCATTGCGCGATTGGTGGAACCCTTCAAGACAGTAGGTTATGATGGGTAAGATGCGGGTCAGTACCCCTTATGCCCTAAACCCTAAACCCTAAACCATCTACACCCTGAGCCCTAATCCGTAAACCCTACCCCTTTATGCCCTAAACCCTGAGCCTCTAACCTCAAGCCCTGAAGCGTAAGCCGCAAACTCTGTCCCGTGGACCTTACACCCTCGACCTTGAGCCCTGAAGTCCGGCGCCCTAAACTTTGGGGTTCGGGTTTCGGGTTTAGGGTTTAGGTTTAGGGTTTTGGGTTTTGGGTAAAACATCCTACGCCCTTAAAGCCCAACCCCCTGTAGGCCCGAGCCCTACAACCTAAACCCCTGTAATGTAGAGGCCGTAATAATTAGAATGGAGTTTTGGGGTATATGATACTTAAAATGATACTAAGGAGCCCCCAAAATAGCAAAGGTAATTGTTAAGGCCCCTACTGTCAAGTCTCGAAGGTTCGACGAGCTTCAGATACAGGTGCTCCTCGGCCAACACTCGGATGAAGCCCCGCAACTGAGTTCGACTCCGGTTTAGGGCTTTAGTCTTAGGGATGGAGGGGTTTAAGGGTTTTGGGGCTTACCCCTAAACCCGAACCCTAAACCCTACCTAGAGGTTTTCCGGGCTTCTGGGCTTCTGGGGCTTCACGGAGGAAGGTTGTAGCACTTCGGGGCTTCGAGGGTTCATGGGTTAGACCGTAGTACGTATGGGGCCTTTAGAATTGGAATAGGGTTTGGGGTATTTTTTTTGTATATTAGTAGATCACCAAAACCCTATTCTTATTGTACCACCAACACCCTATTCTAGCTACTAAGACCCCTCTGTTAAGCCCCTAAAGTATTGCTTACAGTAGCCATCGTAGAACTCTGTAAAGACGCCCTCTAGGAAGCCTTGCAGTAACCTCTCTGGGGCCCTTGCATAGTACACCCTGAAGTATACGGCCCTAAACCCTAAACCCTAAACCCTAAACCCTAAACCCTAAACCCTAACGGCCCTCTACAGGAACTCCGAAACTGAAGCCTAAACCCTAATAACAAGGGGAAAAGGAGCCCATAGAAACAACAACAGCAAGTGTAGACCGCCTTAAGCCCGAAGCCCTGAACCCTAAGCTGTGGAGAGGATTAGGGTTTGGGGTTTAGGGGCACCACGTCTAGTCATGGTGGTCTCCAGGAATCTTGGCTGAATCTTGGCGGCCTTGTGCCACCCGGGCTGTTGGATGTTCCCCACACAGTGATTGGCAAACTGCCACCGAGCAGCAGCACTCTTACAGCTGCGATTACCGGTGCCATGGCTGCAGTGCTGCCAAGCACAGAGGAACCTCAGGGTGTGGTTGGTCTGGAAGCCGTCGTGGCAACCGCAAAACTCATATTTGTTCGGTCCGTGGTGAATGGCATGCTAGAAATTGCCGAGTGACACGCGCTGGCATATGCTACGAACCCGACTCCGCAAGCATTGTCTCATGAGTCTCATACCATTCGCCTTGTGTGCGCTTCAGATCACCCGGCAGCCTTGCCAGTCGCATTGCTTGCAGCGGTGGCAGCGCAGTACCATGCAGCAGCACAGATTGCTAGTTAGGGGGCAGCCTTGACGGGGCAAGTCAGCACATGGTGTCACAATACTCCTGTCGTTATTGAAAAGAAGAGCACCAAAATGGTTGTGCTCTTGTTTTGCAAACCTTTCATGTAGGCTTTATGGCATGCCAAGGATGGGAGATGAACTGAACTAAACAGGATATTGATTTCCATGTTGAAGGTAGCTTACAAAGTAAGGTGCTAAATACCTGAAAAGGGCTTATAAGCGGTTAGAAGTATACAGCAACCTTATTTCTGGCCCTAGTTACTATGTCTCATGATCCGTCAACCGCTACTTTAAACCACTAAGCACCGTGGTTGATGTAGATCTTGAACCCCGAACCCTAATTCCCAACCCCCAAATCATAAACCCGAAACCGTAGACCACGAACGGCAGAAAAAGAACCCACATCCCAGGCACCATGCCTACAGCCGGACTTCTCCGAAGGCGAAACCCGGGTGTACTATGGTGGTCTGAATAATCAGCGACAGTCTCCCCCAATCGCCCCGTTTTATGTACATATACACATATTCGTATTTATGTATGTATGTAAGTATGTATGTATGTATGTAAGTAAAGAAGTATGTATGCATGTATGTATGTATGTATGTATGTATGTATAATGTATGCATGCATGCATGCATATATATATATATATAGTATGTGTGTATATATATATATATATATTTTATGTGTATGCTAATGATGCTACTATGCTGAGTTAAAGCCATTCTGGCCTCGAGATTGTGTGTTCCAGGTTGAATTGGCTCACGGTCCCGGCTTGAGGCTTAAATGGTCCAGGGTCTTAGAGCTTTGGGCTTTGGTGCTTCAGGGCCAGGAACATAACAACAGCATTAGTACTAACAATAACTTAATAAAAACATGAATAGAATAGAAACATCAAATGATAAATACATGATAAGTAGATAATAAGAAAATAGATGTTTACATGTACATGCACTTATATAAGTAGGTATGTCTGTATATGTAGGTATGTGTATGTATGTATATATATATATATACATCATGTACGCACTAGTACGCACACACACACACATGCAGGCCTTGCGGAGCCCTTAAAACAAACAAGCCTTGTAAGTATGGGGAGGAGTTTTGTGAGGTGCTAGAATGCTAAAGCCCGGATCCCCGAACCCGAAAGTCCCGATACTCCCTACAAGTCTGAACCAAAGAGTGTGCTGAAGCCTTGGCCCTGAACATCCCCCCCCTGAACGCTGAAGCCTAAACAGTAAATAACTGTTGAAGTTTCCTGTCGCTTGCAACCTCTGAGTGTCTTTCCCGTGGCGGCTAAGTTTTGTAAGGCAAAAGTAAAGAAATCTTTGAGCTATGGCTGGAAAGTATTTCCCAATGCTTTGGCGCTTGCAGCCTAAATTTAGTTTAGTATACCCTTAATTAAAGCAGCAAGTTGTGGTGGGGGCTACGGTTGTTGCTTCCCAGCCCTTCGACTTTTGGTGTCGTGATTCAGGGCCTCTTGGCGGGGAACCTCTTGGGTTTCGGGTGTAGGGTTTGTTGAAGCTTGACAGGGAGTACCTTAACCCCAAAGGACATACCTTTTTAAGGACTTACAAAGGAAGTCATAGTAGGGACCCCCCCAAGAAGGTAGGGTTCTTTGGGGATCAGGCAGGCTTTAGAGCTTAGTGTTTCTCAGGTGTTTAGGCTTTCGGCTTTGAGGCCTTCGGCATCGGCTCCTTGAATCGAACAGTCATACTTCGGCTATTTAGAAATCCCCCATTATCCAAGACCAGACTTGACCCAGTGTCAGGAGCAATAGTAGGTTCCATTCGGGGCTCTAGCATGGTTTCAGGACGGTCATTTCGCTGCATAGTCTGAGCTTCAAGCTGCAACAACCCTAAACCCTAAAC